TCCTGTCCTGTCCTGTCCGGGACCCGAACCCGGGTGCTCTCTCTTGCGAGACGAGGGTCTAACCCTGAGCTGCAGGGACTCCCCTCTTTGACACAACTTGTCGCGGCCACGAGAATGGTGACCGAGAGCTCGACTACAACAGCAACACAACAACTAGCACTCCAATAGGGCCCTCCACGCAGGGCAGCGTCTCGGAGCGCTTAAGGACAAGTCACGAGACGAGTTGGTGTGGTCGCTGTCGGCTCAAACTGTCCCCAGACTTTGCTAAATTGGCATGTCCAGGTAACCGAGCAAAAGGCTCTGGAGTGGAAGTCATTATGTGAAACTTATTTAAATTACCATTCATTTTATTCGCTCGCTGTCGTGGCAGTTAAATATCGGCTGCCGCGCTTCGCCCTCGAAACAGGCGGTCAATTCGCTTTAGGGCGTGTCCCGCGAAGCGCCTCGAGACGCCTCGATGACCCGATCGGGCGCCGGAATGAAAATGTAAGGATTATTATTCTTATGTTATTATTTTATTGCTGTTGTATTATTGTTCTGGATTGAGGAGGGTCCGCGTGACGAGGCTGGTTTGGAGCAGTGAGCGCAACGGTGGTTGATAGGATTTTTGGGAACGGAGAGAGCTATTTTCTGCTCTTCTAGGACTCCATCCCACAGTCCCTTCACCTCCCTCCCTCCCTCCCTCTCCCTCCCTCCCTCCCTCCCTCCCTCACCTCCTTCAAGACCCTGCTCTTCGACCAACCGCGCCTCCGGTCGCCCTCCACCCCCTCCAACCCCTCCTGATCCCAACCCCCAGCTCGGGTCTGAATCCCCGACTGTCTAACGCCTTGGGACGTCCTGTTGCTGTTGCTGTTGTTGTTGTTGTTGCTTGAGTTGGGGGCAAGTGTGGAGGAGGGAAAATTGGGTGTTGCTCCAACTCAGTCGGCGGTGATCCAGGGGATATAATAATAATAATAATAATAATAATAATAATAATAATAATAATAATAATAATCCTTACATGTGACACAGCGCCTCATCACGTCTTCGAGACGTCTCAAAGCGCTTTACGGGATACACTATAAAGGGTGTAGTTTGTAGGCAAAAAGCGGCAGCCAAATTGGTGGATTGAGTGACCCAATTATTATTATTATTATTATTTAAACCCCGTGAAGAGCTTTGAGACGTCCTCCTGACGTGGAAGGCGCTGTATCAAATGGAAGGATTATTCTTATGACGATGCCAACCGTTGACTGGTTGGACAGTCGCTGAAGCAAATGGCAGTTCATCTTATCGGCCTTTAGTCTGTGCGGAAAT